CCCCCCCCCCCCCCTCGACCCTCCCCAATACTGCCTTCAATTAAAATAACGAAGGGTTTAATTTGCAGGTGTGTTTGACTTAAAGTCCTGTAATACTAACCCTAAAGTCAACCCTAAACCTTAATTGCATCCTCACCTGCACTGTTGCAGATGGCTTTTAGCGCGGACACGAAAACCTATCCGGTAGGGTCTGAACAGCAACAGCAGAGAACTGGAACAAGTCATCCGAATATATCAAACATCGTGTCGGAGCGATTAACCGAGTGAGTTTGTTCTCTTAATCGCAATCCTCACTTTCGGATTCTTTCTTTCGTCTGAATGGGTCTAGTGCTCTTTGATACTTGTTCACTTCCGCCATGTTGCGAATACCCGTTCACACTGCAGCAGTGTGGCACACAACCTACCCGTATGAACGCTCCCGCTATTTTTTCGTCTGTTTTTTTTTTTTTTCTTTTTTTACCCAAATCGTGCCGAAATCACCCTTCTTATGTGTGAAGAGAAGCCCTATCCGGTATGATTTCGTGCCTTCGCAAAAGCTATCCAGTATTAAGTGTAAACATTGTCTAAGTTCCTGCTGTCCTAATGTAGTATTAAGTTAAGGCCTCGATAAATTTAGATAAGTTCAAGAACGTTTTGCTAATTTCCATTCTTAGAGATTTTAGCTTAGATTTGTTGACGTATAAATAGTAAACTAAATTGCAAGGATGTTATTAAAGAGAGCCTTTGGACCTTTGATATTGGTCTAAAATATTGGATCACAGAGTGAAGTCTTATGAAAACAAATATATTTAGCAGGATCGTCAATGCAAGTGAAATGTGTTAGAAAAACAGCAGCTGTTTTATTTAGCACAAGTTGTAAAGGGCTTCTTGTGCAGTAATATACCTTGTTATAAAATGTAGTTTTTGAAAAACAAGTTGTAATAAATATTGTACTTTCTACACCGAAACTTTTGTTTTCAGTTCTCGAAAAGACTCCAGGCCTGCATTTAGATAATGTAATCATTTTTATTTACCTAGAGAGTCCCAGCGATTTCACCTTTTGCTTTCTTTGTGAATGTACACCCTACTATTGGTCAAAACCACGCACAAATTTGTTACATGCGTTAATATATAGGTTTAACCCGGGCTAAAAGCATAGCTCCAGTTAATACGTTTATAATGTAGATCAAACAGTAAACTTGTAATCCACAAATCGGTTAACTGGCGAGATCCATATGACTTTAAGGGTGGGGCTGGGTGACTTAGAGAAAAAATGATTAGGACACAGTGCAAGAATGAAACAACATCTAAAATCTTACATGGAGCTAATAGTCTCATTTGTACACCTAATAAATAGAAATCACCTTTGGTTACAGTAGCCAGGCGGACAAATTCCTCCCAAGCAAAATTACCTTTTGCCCCCCTACGCCACCTATATTTTATACGATAAAGACACGATAGTCCTCGGTGGCAGCCAATTTAAATGTCATAACTAAACGGTTTTATCTCTTTGTCTAAAGGCGGAAAGGTCAAAATAAAAAATCAGGCCGTTTTTTTGTGTGTGTGGCTTGCCACAAGTCTACTGGTAGCGCGTAAACCAGCCTTTTTTGCATTATCTCAGACGTAAACAGAACTATCAGGCGTAGTCTGTTTATCGTTCAGACCTCGGACATTTCCCATTGCACTGTATGTAGTATCCAAGGTAATAATGGGCTTTGAGCAAAAACGCTCCAAATAAATCATACTTTAATTCAATTTCCAAAATCACCCGTCCAAAAAGCCACTTTAATTTTATCAGAACTTTACCAAGCGCCAAACTTGCAGTGCTAGCTGTCAGGTATTTTAAATGAACACTAGAAATGACGAAGAGGTCTGTTTATTTTGCATTTTACTTCTAAAACGTAACACCATGATTCGTTGATACCCGCGGAATTTTTTAAAAGTAATCCTGCGTGCGATGTTCGCAAACGACTGAAAACAATAACTGGCAAGGCGATACTAAGAAAGAGATCTTAACAAACAATCAAGATGAAGACAAGAAATATAATTCAATGAAACGTTTAAGAGGACAACAATTTTTATTCTCAAAGACGTGTATTGGGAGTGAACGTTAAATAGTTTTATTATTCATTCAAAATATTTCCCTGATTCTGATTGGCTAAAAGTCACACAGTTATTATTATTGTTATTATTATCATTATTATTATTATCATTATCATTATTATTAAATGTCTCTAAACATCCTGCGTCGTGAATAAAACCTTGCAGATTTAAGCCTTAAGCTTAAGTTTAAAGTTTAAAGCTTAAGTTTGCTATTTTTTAAGATGAACTCCAGGGAAGAATGTATCGTTCAAAGCTTTCTTTTTACAACCAATATAGGATAATTAAACTATTCTTCAGAACGTTTTCTTTGAAGTCACGGTCAGAAAATGTCTAAAGACTTTTTAAGTTCTGTACTAGGTGAGATCATAGTCCTAAATCTTACAGAAGTGCGTAAAATGACGGCATAAACAATGCCAGACTTCATGAAACCAGAAATTAAAAAAATAATAAAAGAAAAAAAAAAAACATCATGTGCAATATAATCACTCAAGCTTACCGGTGGAGATGCAGGTAGGAAACACATCAAGTAAGGCCAGAATCACTTAAGACGTTTCAACCTTCTTAAGCATCCAGGAAGACGAAGTAAGCTTACTAGCAGTAACTTATTTTAGATAACGATGATTTCCGATTTCTTTTTCTCGAGCGGTGCATTTCTCAACCAAAACCCAATAAACAAGCCAGCCATTAATAACAAAAGAGTCTTGATAGCAGCTGTATTTCATTTTGTAGATCCAGTGTAAAAAGACAGTTAAAACATAATAGGATGTCACGAAACTTTGTCAGCTTCAGCCACAGGTGGCCCAAGTGTAATATGAGAGTTTCTATGGGAAATAAAGAGTTTATATGGGAAACGAAACTTAGATGAAATAAATGAACTAGAAGCGGTTACAGTTAAGAGTTATCAGTAAAGTGTAAATATTGTTACCTGATGTCGTTGTCTTTGTATTTACGAAGTTTCAGCGCGATTTAAGTACTAAAACATAATTTGATCTGACAGTGTAATAATAAGAGACAAGGTAGGGCAGAATCGCTCGATCGGCCTTCAGAGTTGCTCAGAATCAGCTCCAAATTTCACGAGAAAAAAATCAGACATACTTACATTTGATTATCAGTATCATCATCATCATCATCATCATCATCACTATCATTATTATCATTACTATTATCATTCTTTCTTTTGCGTACGCGAGTGTTTTTTACCAGGCGTTTAGCTGTTTGTTATCCATTTATTTTCTGGCTCCGGGCGTCACACTGCTATCAAATAACCGTTAAGCCGTTCTTCTTCTTCCGTTTCCATTTTTTCAAGCCTCTCATTCTATCCCTTTTAAACATAAATCCGTTTTCTTTCCGTGCAGTAGCCGTGTGTCGTGTGAGCGGTCACAAAATAAGAACGATATTACTTCGCAACAAATTATACTTCATAAACATCCGCTCACGGCCATCAAACAGTTAAGCCGTTCTATTTTATTCTCAAACCGTTCATTGACATTTTTTTTCTCCATT